AGATGATGGACTCATTTTCATCCCCAATAGTAATGGTCCCCTAACCGCGAAGATCTAAAAGAAAATCATAATGTCTTTAAATTACTAGGGCTTAGGATTGAGATTTCCTCCAACCTTAAAATAGTTGATTATCTAGACTTCACTCTTAACCTCAATAATAAAACGTTTAAGCCATACCATAATGTCAATGAAACCCCCACCTATATTAATGTCAATTCTAATTACCGCAATGCCATTGTGAAACAGATACCTACCACCGTTGGCATTAGGATTATTTGATTATAATCCAACATAAACATCTTTAATAAAAAAAATTGTATGAAAATGCTCTCCAAACAAAAGTGTTTTTTAAAAATAAATTATCTTGTGTAACACAGAAATATCTAAAGACACAAAAAAAGAAAAAAAAAAAAACTACAAGGTTCACCCCCCCCCACACTTCTGCAAGCTGTCAAATATTAACACTGGAATTCAACGGGTGAACCCAGCATATATATATATATATATATATATATATATATATATATATATATATATATGTGTGTGTGTGTGTGTGTGTGTGTGTGTGTGTGTGTGTGTGTGTGATAGAATTTGGGATAATTATAATTATGTAATTCATCGAGTCTAGAAGAAACCTCAACAGAATGCAGAAAGCACTGGGTGAACCTGGGAACAACAGCACATAAGAGCTGGTTTATGCTCCCCAAAACCTTCCAATAAGAGGCCTTGCTGCCGGATCTAGTTTATCGTCATACCCAGGACGGGCCTTGCTCGAGGTGAAATAATAAAAAAAATGTATCTGCGTGTAAGCGAATATAACGAACCCGACTGGAATTCGAACTCATTCCGAGCCGGTATTACACCACCCGCACATCCATCAACACCACCAGAAATTAAATAACAGTCGGTAAACATGATACATTGAGGAGAATGAGCACTACTTGTATCATATAATAGCGATGATTATTTACCTGTTCATTCAGAATGTGGTCAATTATGACTCTCCAAAATAATATATGTGAACGAGCGGTGCTATATCGAGTCTAATTCGCTACCTCTTTGTCGAGGAGGCCTCTTGATACAGTTGGTATGACTTTTGTCTTATATCTTGATTGTCCGGGTTTCAGTTCTCGCTATTGGATGCGCACTGCTGATGAGTCCCAAATATAGAAGAAAACGGTCCTGAGAGGTAGTACCTGTTAGGGTGAAAAATATGGGCAAATAATTAACCTCCCAAACTGGGGTCAAAAACACCATGAAAGTGTATATATAGGTTTTAGTACCAATATTTTTTTAAAAGAAATTATTACCAGCAATACATTTTTGCAAAAAAAAAAAAAAAAATATTAGCAACAAAACATTTAAAAAAAAATTACCAGCAATGAAAAATATATATATGGAAAAAAATTCCATAAAGGCGAGAGAACATTAAAAGAACAGGACAAGAAGACAGTAGCGGCTCGTATTGAGGAATCGGAGAGCCGAGTTCGAATTCCATTCGAATCCATTACATTCAATTATGTGTTAATATCCATGGGAAAGATATCAATTCTCTTCTCTTTCCCCCGCCCTCAGCTATGGGTAAATAGCAGGGCAGACCGGATTCTATAGCCTTAGATGGAACTGGTCTACTGCAGAAAGAAATGGCAACCTACTGCGGGAGGAAAAAAATCTGCCTTGTCAGTCATGTATCGAAAGATACATGATCGCCTAAGTGTGTATCACGCATGGCACATAACTGACTGATTACTAGTTGCGGCTCGGATTGATAAATCGGAGAGCAGAATTCGAATTCCAGTCGAATCCATTACATTCACTTACGTGCTAATATCCTTGGGAAAGGTATGAATACTCTTCTTTTCTACCCCCCAGCTATGGGTAAATAGCAGGGTAAACAGGGTTCTATAGACTTAGATGGCAACCTACTGCAGAAAAAAAACTGCCTCGTCAGTCATGTATCGAAAGATATATGATCGCATAAGCGTGTATCATGCATAGCACATAACTGGCTTTAGAAGACATGCAAAAGAAGACAATTGTTAATCAAAATAAATAAATAAAATTGGTAATGCAATATTTACTCGCAAAAAAAGGATTAGTTCACTGTGTCATGCTAGTCAATTTTTCTTACCAGAATCTCTTGTATATTTATAAGCCTACAATTCATCCATACTTAGAATAATTCTTCCACGTACAGTTGGGTGCTCCTGCTATATATCTAGAACTACAATGATAAAACTCAAAGAAGAATCAGCAATATTATTGGTCCTGATCTGGCATCTCGGCTTCAGTCTCTTTCTCGCCGCCGTAATGTAAACTTCCTGTTCCTTTTCTATAAATACTTTCATTTTAATTATTCGGATGTGTTCTTCGTTATGATACCAAGATTTTTTGTATTTAAGCGACGAGGTCGCATCAATTTACATTTGAGTTGGTTTGATGTAACCATAAGTTCTATGTTTGCTTTCTCGCTTGGGGGACTCCCTCCCGCTCCCATGCTTTCTAGCCAACTATAATCTTCAAAAAATTAAATCGATCGTTATCTACTGCCACCCCCCCACCGCCCATTGAATACTCTTCTTTTGTCCTCCGTCATTAATAACGATTCTCTTTTCTCATTCTAACGCACCTAATAACCCCTTGTCACTTAGTGGATCTACTGCCTCGCTTAGGGTGAACTCGTTTAAAAATGAGATCCAAAATACGTTTCGGATTTTAAAAAAAGATAAAGGATTGATAAAAGGAAAAAAAAACCAGCCAATCAATCTGGAGGTGCGATTGACCCAATGGAAAATGAAATCAGAGAACCGTGTTCAAATCATGAGAGACACTTTGTATTCACTTCACATTCATATTCTTATGAAAGGCATTGGTGATAGTATGCTCTTTGTTACGTATTTGGTGCCGCGTCATTAGATATAATGGATTGTGAGAAATTTTATTTTAAATTGTCGGTATGCTGGGAATAATACAAAATACCAGGCTCTTGACAAAGGAATTGTATAACACAGACACCACATTGTTTCTTGAAAATGACCGAGATGATCGAAAGTACTTGAACAAGATAATAAGACGTTATTTACTTCGGACAATTTATCCTATCACAATACTAAAACCTTGTAGGTTCTTTTAAATTTAATTAAATATATATATATATATATATATATATATATATATATATATATATATATATATATATATATATATATATATTGAACAATAAAAAAATATAAAAAATTAAAATCTTCAGACACACTGGGTTGTAGATTCATATTCTTTCGTTTTTTTTTATTATTATTTCATTTAGATTCCTCGACTAGTTTCGGCCAAAATGGCCATCATGGGGAGAAGAAATATTTCTGCTTGCTGGTAGCAGTAAACTACAGAAATGAATATCTTGATGGAGAAAATGAACCTTTGATATATATATATATATATATATATATATATATATATATATATATATATATATATATATATATATATAAAAAGTGTAGGAGAACGAACAGTAGGATTACAGCGTTCAAAACTTTAATTTAAAAATAGTGGTCAATACATAAAGTAGAGCCGTAAATATTTATTTATTTCATGAAGTGTTACATTAGAACATGCTCATATCCACTACAAAATTGGACATTTTTGTTTCGACGTCAAAAAAAAAAAAATCTTTTTTTAGACGTCTCATCAGGTGGGAAATTACGGTGTCGCTCACCGTAATTCCCCACCTGATAAGACGTCTAAAAAAGGTTTTATCTTTTTTTTTTTTTTATACGTCGAAACAAAAATGTACAATTTTGGAGTGGATGATCAATAAAAAAAATATTAAAAAATTAAAATCATCAGACACACTGGGTTGTATATTAATATTCTTTTGTTTTCATTATTATTTCATTTAGATTCCTCGACTAGTTTCGGCCAACATGGCCATCATCAGGAGAAAAAAAAATTCTTCTTGTACGTAACAGTGAACTACAGAAATGAATGTTTGATGGAGAAAATGAATTTTTGTCTGTAGTTTTCATTTCTTTTTTTTTTTTTTTTTTTAACATGGATTTTAGTCAATCCCTGTGTTGATCAAACAGTCTCTTTTAAGTTGTTATTTAAGATTAGAGCTGGATGGATTCAGGCTGTTGAATTCCTTTGGTCATTTTGACTGTTTTATTGTTTCCTGGAAAGTGGGGGGTCTCTGTTAAGTGTGTGTGTGTTGTTTAGTTCTTATATATATATATATATATATATATATATATATATATATATATATTTCCCAAAGGATAGAATCCAGGTAGAACTCAATGTCCAGGGCAGGGTATAAGAATATTTTCCGATTTCTTTTTGAATTTGTAGGTTTGATGATGATTTGGATCGTGACTACGAACCGTTGCATTGTGGGGCCGATTCCCAAGATGATACTTCCCCGATCACTACAATCTTAACCTGTTCATGTTTAGGGTCAACCGTTATCTTCCACACACATCTCCATAAACTGTGTCTTTTATTCTGTAACCTTCTACCTCGAGTGACCCTTGGGCCATGTACGTGTGAACATTATTTTAATAGAAAAAACGTTGTTCCTCATCTGGTGTAATTATTTGATGTAAATGTCAACAGTTAGCGAGGCTTTTGCACGGTTCATCCTGAAAATTCGTCTACCAGGCTCAGTTAATAACCACACACACACACACACACACACACACACATATATATATATATATATATATATATATATATATATATATATATATATATATGCACGCACATACACATATGCACACTTACACAAACAAACATGTACAGCGAATGAGAGTGTGAAAGAGAGAAAATGTATTTACACAGACAAAGAAGCCTACCAACTTTGTATCCAAATGAAAATATTATTTGTTGAAAATAAAATGCTTGTTTTCACCCAGAGTCACTATTTGGAAATTCTCTGTGTTTGTGTGTTCGTCTTAGAAAGCTTTTTCACGGGCGTTAAGTAGGTGGACGTAAGACTGTATTCACAGGCACTATATCTATCTATCTATCTATCTATCTATCTATTATCTATCTATGGGCGTTAAGTAGGTGGATCTATCTATCTATCTAATCTACTGTATTCACAGGCAGTTCATATCTATCTATCTATCTATATCTATCTATCTATCTATCTATCTATGCCTGATCAAAACACATACTCTTTTTCTTTCTCACACAGTCAGTTCATATCTATCTATCTATCTATCTATCTATCTATCTATCTATCTATCTATCTTTTCATATCTCTCTATTTATCTAAATCTGATCACATACTTCTATCTAATCTGTTCATATCTATCTATCTATCTATCTATCTATCTATCTATCTATCTATCTATCTATCTATCTATCTATGCCTGATCACAGCACACACACTCTCACACAGTTTGTTCATATCTATCTAAGTCTGATCACATACTCCTATATAATCTATCTATCTATCTATCTATCTATCTATCTATCTATGCCTGATCAAACCACACATTTTATCTCACACAGTTTGTTCTCTATCTATCTATCTATCTATCTATCATCTATCTATATGCCTGATCAAAAACATACTCTTTTCTTTCTCACACAGTCAGTTCATATATATAATCTATCTATCTATCTATCTATCTATCTATCTCTATCTATCTATATCTATCTATCTATTTGACTATCTATCTTATCTAATGCCTGATCAAACCACACACTCTTTTCTTTCTTAATCTATCTATCTATCTCTATCTGATGACATCCATACTCTTTTTATCACAGTCATTCTATATCTATCTATCGTATCTATGAAATCATCAATCTATCTTTTATAAACTAAACTGCCGTAATTGTTCATATCTATCTATCTATCTATCTATCTATCTATTTAGCCTGATCACTTTAACACTAATAGAACACAGGCTATCTAAGGCCTATCTATCTAATCTAATATCTATCTATCTATCTATCTATCTCTATTTGACCTTAGAACCTGATGACAAAATATAGTTCTGAAATCAAATTATAAAATTGGCTTACAATATTTAGCCTTGTAGGCAAACTATACAGGAAAATATAGTCAGAAATATTGGCATAGTACAAACTATACTGTCATATTGTCTGGTTGTGTTTAACTCCGAAAAACATTAAAAACATAACGTCCCCATTATATAAATGCGCGCCAGGTTTTCATTTTTTCACCACTCACATTGGTAACATTATCTTTTTCTAGCGATATACGCCTTGTTCTATTCTCAACCTAAACACGTCAAATAAAAATAAAATTTATGCTGAACGTCTTCAAAGTAGTTCAATATATAAGACTAGTTTCGCTGTAGGTTTAGTATTTACAACAATTTGCCGTGATTAAAAATAGAAAAAAATATAACTTTAAGAGCGTTTATCAAATGTATTAGTTATACATCCCTAAACGTACCAACAATTGCATCAGGAATATCCTTGGGGGTAAAATCTGTTTTGTTCGGGTACTTGATAACACCACAATGCCAAATTTTGTCCATTTTCAAGAAAAATTGCTGCTAGTTATTTTTAAGTATTCTTTGAACAATCAGATGTCAGTTTACCTGAATAAAAACAATGCAGCTATTAAGAATAGATGAAATTAATACGTGAAAGATTTCACAGCTCTAGCATCACTTATAGTCAACACTCGTATTATCAGTGATGGTCATCGTATTGATGCATATTGTTAAATGTGATTTGTTTTTAATTTATTCATTTGAGTAAACACAAAAGGAAAAGAGATGACATATTACTACTTCCGAAAAATTATAACGTTTCTTCTTTCTAAAACATGAAATTGTTGCACGTACAGTGGCCTAAGAAATGTTTTTAGCCAGGAGAAATAAACTACAGTACATCGAATTTCAAGATTTATTTACGTAATCCCATCTCAACATAAATAAACAGTATTTGAATCTAATATGAAGTAGATCCTCCATTTTCTAGTTTCACTGCTTGTATTCGATTTTTCATTGATTTATCAACAATCATCTGAGCAATATTTTGACACTCCTTTAGTAATGTTTCTTTAAGGGTTGCCACTGACGTGATTTTGGTTGCACGCTCGCGAAGTTTTCAGTCAAAGTGCCCCCAAACGTGTTCTATTGGACTCATGTGAGGAGTTTCGGCTACACATCGCAGTGACATCATTCCTTGCGATTCTTTCCAGGCCTTTGCTACTTTGCTCGTATGACATGGCGCTCCATCTTCTTTGAAAAAGGTAAACATTCTTGTCAATCTGACTGGTTTCAAATAGTGGGAGTAATCCTTTCTCTAATATTTGACAGTATTTTGGACCCTTCAACCGCTCGTCAACAAGAATCAGCTCAGATTTCCCTCCAGACTAGACAACGACCCGCACCATTACTCCAATCCCTCCATGTTTCACTGTCGCCTGCAGATATTCAGTGTTCCAAGTTTCATTCTGATTTCTCCAAATATAAACCTGTCTTGATTTCGAATATTGGCAAAATTTACTTTCATCTGACCAAATTACAGACTGCCAAAATTCATAATCTTTGCTCTCGAATTCTCTTGCCCAGTCCATACGCCTGTTCCTGTTAAACCTCTGAAATCAAGGGCTTCTTTCTTGCAACTCTTCTTTGATAGCCTAGTTCTTTCAGAGTCATTCTCACCGCATATGGCGACATTTCCTTGCAGTTGGCAACATCTTTGACGCTCTGACGATGGTTTCTCTTGAATTTCCTCTTCAGCGCCCTTTTCGTTCGCTCAGACACGATGCTTGGTCTTCCTGAACGTTGTTCCACACGACAATGGCCCTCTTCATTAAATTTTTTGAGAATATTATTAACCGTTTGATAATTAACTTGGAAAAACCTAGAAATTTCTCTATTTGATTTGCCACGCTGATGTCATCCTATTATTTGCCATCGTTGAAATTCACCAATTTCCTTACTTCCGCGAACTTTCATTGCAAAATATAAGTCAACTATTGTTGATAGATGAGAGTGGCTTGATATTAACACGCTATTGTCTGAAAAAAAGAGAAGAGACGTTATTAAACAAGCCAAAATTGCTGTAATCAAGGGTGGCTAAAAACTTATCATAGCCGACTATATGTGCATACTTAGTGAAAATATGTTACCTTCAACAAAACGTTACAACATTTAAGAAATATTCTATTTAATTATTGTTATTTATGTCGTTATGTAAGAGAAAATGCGAGTGAATAAGTGAAAAACAATGAAACAGCATTTTAATGAAAGTTACTTTCTTCATTTCCTTAAGTGCGCCATTCTGAATGCCAAACGCATTACATGAGCATCGTTTGCGCATGTCTGTTCTGGATGATCTGTTCACATTTCTGGCTTATCGCTTTTTAAGTTTTTCTCAAAATTATGTTTGTGAAATTCTTAAATCGAGATTATGTTCGTCTGGTGATCTTACTAATATTTCAAATTTCTTTTTCGATCAACGAAATCCGAAGGCACATTGGAATAACAAAAAAGCTACATTTCAAAATGTAAATAAAGTATTAAAAAAAAACAGAAAAATTCAGGTAGAAACAAAAAAAGAAAAAAAGAAAAAAGAAAGTGTACTAAACTCTTATGTAATATCACTAAAATTCTTAACGTTCTCCTTACAAATGAAGATGAAACTTGAAGCAACATAGATGTGGTTCTGCAGAAGCATGCTGAGAATACCATCGACTGAACATGTGAATAACGAGAAGTTTTAACCAAAAGGGAAAAATGTACGCTTATAATTAGAATCAGAAAGCGACACTTGAAATTTCTAAGGCAAAGCATGAGGAAAGAGGGCTTGGCAAATTCGACTCTCACAAGACATATTGAAACTAAGAGTGACAGAGGAAAACAACGAATAACCAACCTAACGAGCATGTGTAAATGGATAGTAGAACAAGGATTAGTTGGGATAGCAAAAAGATAAAACTTACTAAGAGCTACAAAGGGTAGGAAGTTATGGAGAGCCATTTCCGTCGTCGTCCTGAAGAGATACCGCACAGAAAAGAAGTAGTAATTTTTTTTTTCATTTAATGAATATTGTCTTTCTCATTCTTACGAATGATATTAATATTAATACATTTGAAAGTGAATTATAAGTATCTCTGTATCTATGAAATATATCAAAAATATGATAAAAAATGTTATCGAGATGCATAACAAAAGCTCAGGCCAGCAAATAAGTTATTATATAGTAGCCTAAAAGCCGCACTTCGGGTGGAATTTTAAACTAGCCCCAGCGGAGAGATTTGGGGCCTTCAGGCTTTTTACCTTCAGCGTCCTATGTACGTAAAAGTTATAAGAATTTAGAAATAAGGGAATTATTTTATATTTATTCTACATCTTAATTCGGCATAATCTTTCTTCGTATACGCAACCGATCTCCGCAATTTGTTTACAATTATTTCGCGAGCAATTTTTCTTTTCTTTTAAAATCACCATTCATTGTGATCCGTTCACATAAATTCATTTTTTCGGCCGTTGTACGCTCCGGAATTCTTCAGGAGTTTGGAATGTCGAACTGAACCCTTTATTTCACTTTCTGGGGTAGACTGTTCCACGTGCCATGTCTAATGGATGACATGGATAATGGATGTCCTCAAGGACACATGGCACAGTGGATAAAGGCGTTAGTAATATCCAGTGACAGGATACAAAGAGTTCAATATCTGGTTAAGGGGGTGGAAAACTTGGAAAGGGAAATTGACAGGAGATAGCTGATAACTGACATCCATTAGACATGGCATGTGGAACTAGAACAATCTATCCCAGCAAGCGAAATAAAGGGTTCAGTTTGACATTCCAACCACCTGAAGAAGGCCGGAGCGTACAACGGCCGAAACGTTTTGATAAATATGGCAACAAAGATGAGTATGATAGTAGAACAATGTAATAGTGTATATAATACCACATCTCAGAAACATAGACGGATATTAAACCTTTAATAAATAATTTTTTTTAACTTTGATTATATTCGATATTTAAATTTAACTTTACATGAGTTATTTATTTCATTTTTAATCGCGTGTAACTACTGTAGTTGCTACATGTTGTGGCGTAATTTAATCGTATTAAATTACAAGAAGAGGAAAGAAAAGAAGTTTTATCTGTTTGTTTTGCCGTCCAATATCGTTAACGCGTAGAATTTAATACCTCTCCTCTACAGTCATGCTCCATTTTTATAGCGAAGGCAGATAGAATTCCTTGATAAGGGAGATAACCATGGAATACTCCACACCTGTTATTTGAGGTTGTTTATGATCCACCGAGATTGAAAACGGACACACGTACACTGCGCTTATTATATATATATATATATATATATATATATATTGCCATCCACAGACAGACTGTTTCGCTGTATTACAGCTCATCAGTGTGTATACTCGTCCGGTTGCCTCTAGCTAGGATAAACGACTAAAATTCACGGTGTATATTTATCACATAATTATATGTACTAATAGTAAGCGTTAATGGAGTGACGATAATCGAATTGCCACTATTAAGTCCCAATCTGAATCTGAATCTATGAACAATTCTGAATATGAAATTATATGAATGTGGCAAAGAATATGACAGCAAAGAAGAGTTATGGAAAGCAATTAAAACTAATATGTCAGAAATTGAACCCGCTGAAAAAAAAAAAAAAAGAAAAGATAACAAAATCAAGATAATAGATTGCTGGCTGTTTTTGAGAAGAAGGATCACTATATCATACTTATTAT